CGCTTTGCATAGCTTCAAGGTCGCGGGGACTCGGCTAACGTCGGTTCCGCTCGGCTCACTTCGGCTCCTCTCGTGACGTCACCGTGCGTTGCGCGTTGCATAGCTACCAGGATGCGGGGTGATTACTCGCCTATTACGCGAGCGCTACGTTACCGCTACGTGCAGCTGGGGAGGTAGGGGTCAACATGTCACAATATATATATATATATAGTTGCAGGAACTTGATAATTTCGTTAATCGGATTCTCTGTATAGTATTCAGCTTCCTGGATTTGGATTCGGAAAATCCCGTACTAAAATACACCCCCGAAACCAGACAGTCTCAGAGTGGCTTCCCTCTGTCGTTCTAAGCAAAAGTGGGTGTAACTAACTAATTTTTTGCAGCCGGGCTATTTTTTACAAGCCGCAGTTGCGAAGTAACTAAAAAAATTTCATAAAATTTATGGAACTCGAAATTTCATTACCATGTTGACAAGAGTCCTCACTGGTCCCTGTCTTAAGCCAGATAAATCCAGTCCATGCCACTGCATCCTAGTTTTATAAGATCCAAGTAAAAGTTTGTTTAGCCTCTTAAAATAGGTCACGTCTGTTTCTTTCTTAATACTTTTAAAACATTTTTTTTCAGGAAGCTGTGATCAGCAATATACGTACACCCTTGATCAAATAAAAAAGGAGGCGTTGTCACACGAAACCTTGGTTAAAGTTTATTTTCCCTCGGTTGTTGGTGGAACTCGAAGGTGCAACACCGCATTCACAACAGCCAGCCGTTGCACCTTACATTGAACCCGTTCAGTTTAAACCATATCATTCTAATATTGCTATCCCTTTTACACTGCTTTTGCCCAAGCTATTTCTTATCTTCAAGTTTACATACCAAACTACGGTATGTATTTCTCTTCTTGCTCATGTGTGCTTCGTGTCCAACCAATCACATCCCTCATGATTTGAACACAGTAATAATATTTGATGAAGAGTCAGAATTGTGAAATGATATTCAACACCTAAGCGCATGCGCTGGAGCAATGGAAAGAAAAGAACACAAGGACAACGACGCATTTCCCACGCAGACGTTCCAGAATCGAGAAGTGAATAATCGTATAGATTTCATTATCGACTGAAGAACAGAAGCACGAACATGTCAATGTCAGTATACTGGCAGGAACAATTGGGCTCACGACATACGGAAACCTGAGGAACCTTAAGACACACCATCCGACATGAATATTGCGTTCCTTAATTTGTTAATTTTACATTTCATTCTTATTTTCGCATCTTGCGTTTGATGACCAGATGGGTGCATGGTATTTTTGTCACACTGTCACATTACAGTCAATTGTTTACAATATTAGTACAAAATGTTTCGACCACACACGCTTAGAGTCAAGTATTTCTGCATGTTGTTGTATGTTGATACATTGTGCTGAGTGAAGCATAAATAAAAATTAAAGTAGAATTAATAATTTTAAATTCCAAATTTTAACAGTTAATGTAAGTTGTGCACATTGCCACATGTCTCAGGCGCAGTTACTCTAAAGTTTGTCCTTGTGTTCTCTAAGTAATAATATACCATATTATATACCATATATCGTATATTATTTGTGGTTGAAATAATACGACCGAAATCTTGGATTTTAACTAACAACTTAAACTTTTATTATTAATTTTAATTCCAGTTTTTATAAATGCTTCACTCAAAGAGAGAACATTAGAGCACACCAACTTACAACAGCACATAGACAAACCTGATGGTGGCCGTCAGTGGTAGAACAGCGGAAATAAATTAATGTAATTCGATTGTGACAAGAAAACATACAGCCATCTGAATATTAAAAGTAGGAAAATACGACTGATATATAAAAATAAACCAACTAATCAAAGTAAAAGATTGCTCAAACACATTATTGTCACGTGATAATAGTGACCATATACGGATTTTGGATTGATAACTGGATTTACTGGACACTTCTGCAGCTCTTGACTACACTTGACAAATCACTATCACACAAAGAATACTGTTCTCATTCACGTTGCTTGGCAGTGGCTTCCAACGATGGAGGTTCCTTTTCTTCCGAGCTCACGTCCTTACAGTGTGGTGACTACCTCACACCAACCTCATATTCTGACCGCCGGCTTCAGGCAATATTTTCTTCAGCTGCTAACTCCCAGGCAGGAGTGATTTTCAGCTGTCAAATTCCAAATTCAGCTGTCAATTCTCGACTTGTTTCCGAGTTGAACTGACTTCCAAATTCCGAAGTAACTGGATTCCGAGCAGAACTAACATATAACGTAAAATTGACTCCTCATTGGAGTGGATCGCATAGAAAACACAGCTGCCAGCACTTCCTCAGTTGTGTACGTATGTTGCTTAGTGATTGCTCTGGTACTGTTGCGTACTTACGAAGCTGTTTCCTAGCAATGTTTGTTATTCTCGTCCCTTATTCTAGTTCTCAGGCCACAAGTCACAATATCACATACCTAACCTAACAATCTAATATAATCTAACTTAATCAAATCATCTAACAACCTAACTTATCCTAATGCCACCGTATCCCTCATGGACACTATGACGTTAAGATAATATTCAGCTACGTAAATCGTACTGTAACTGTCCAGTTTATGGGAAGGTCAATTGATGTTTGTGTATGGTTAGGGTTTTGTGAAATTCCTCACTTTCGCCTCAAAATTTGGAATTTTCCCCCTTGAGACATGCAGCAAGTGGCTTGGGTCAAGCCTGAAGCCAGCTGCCCTTACGTAAATCAGTTAATTTAATGCGTAACAAGGCCGAGTTCTTTAGAAATTCTAAACTTGACAGGGGGAGTCATAAATTTAGCAGCGTCGTTTCCTGCTAACCCAAAATCTCAGTTTGACAGCCACGCAGCAGATGGCAAAGTTCACCCCTAAACTGTACACTAGTGGATATTCGCTTTCCTAATTGGAGGAGAATGATAAGCAACCTCCCAGTCTGCCCGGTCCAGCCAATCATCGTCTGAAATGGGAGGTCCTTTGCCCGAATTTTGGGTAACCAGGGCAAGTATTTACCATTCAGAGGGTGCTTGGCAAGGAGGACTCTGAAAGTTACGTTCACCGGGGGTACACGTGTTCGGATCCCCGTAAACACGCCCTGTGGTAACTATTAAGTGTGCGTCCCCAGAACAGTAAGTAGGCCTACATCCACGAATCTGTGAAGTGTACCAATACGGGCCGTTTCATTTAATTAGTGCTGATTTAATAAAGACTCCATACAGTTAATTGGTGTTGTGGTGATTTCCCTACGCCTAAAGCCCCACTAATCACCCAAGTCGTGGCCAATCAACACGCCCTGAGAGGAATCGAATTGCTCTACCGGAGCTAGCAGAACCGAAGAAAAACGGTTACAGTACTAATCGATCTATGAGACCGAATGTATTAGTAGGCGGAGGAAGAAATGAAGACTCGAAACTTGGGCCAGTGACGCCTTCGCCGACACAAGTAACTTGAACTGAGGAATGCAGCCTCGGGAACATTTCATAGCTGACGAAGAAGCCGAAGCAACGGAGAAAATATCCGATGCCGACGATTATGCCAACGTTTGCTGCGATGACGATAATGACGTCACGACTAAAATGGTGGGAGTATAACAGCAGAGGCGCATGCGTACACAACACAGAAAAGGAAATGTTAAAGCGAATTTAACGTCATGTAATTTCACCTAAATAAATTAACGTATTCCATGCCTTGCTATGCCTTAAAACACTCATTACAATTACCACAACATTAAGGAGCACATCACTTATCAAATTAACGCAAGGGGATGAGAAGTTTGAAAGAGTAACTAATGAATTCATGAATTATGTAGGTCCGTCGTCAAGCCAGCATGGCGCGTCTTTGGATTTCGGATGGAGAAATAGCGTTCAGAGATGAAATGTAGATGCAAATAACATACAATTAATAAAAAGTTCAGGACAACAGACAACACACGGTCTTCCAGCTATGGATTTGCGCTGAGAAGCCCTTGCAACTTGAAAAATATTACACAGAGCGTCCAACTTCATTATTACGAGTAACTACTCAAAGACGATTCTGTTCCAAGATCTTCGATTAGTTATTTAAGAGCGACTGCTGCTAAGCATCTACTACAATTCTCTGTCCTAACCCTAGCCCACGTTTCAAGTTGATTTCACATTCGAATTTGCAATCTGACTGTTCAGACAAGAGATTCACTTACCACACAGGTCTCAGCAGCAGATATGGTAGGCGGTCAGCAATGACGTCAGTAGGGACATCCAGAAGTGGCTGTAGCAGCTGAGGGCGTCACCACTGTCTGCAACACAGTGGTACAGTCTTAATTTCATTTTGAAATAGCCTGTACAAGGCATGGTTTCAGTGAACCTCAAAGCATTAACCAAGATACACTGGAAAGACAGTGGTTAGTGGAACAGAGGGTCAGAGGTCGAGAGGAAAACCAGGCTGAACGTCGAATTAATAAAATTCAAACGGACCGGAAGGTGCACAGTAGAGAACCAATTAGCACTATTCAACACTGAAGTTGCCAAGCGAAATTAGTTACTTTTCTTCTCCCTACATGAAGCTTTTTGCAGATGTAACACCACTGACACCAGAGCCCACTATTGGACATGACTATGCCCAAGTTCCACCCACTTTCCATCCTCATATTCCTCCCATAACCAATAGCTTTCAAGTTTTAACATATCATTCAAAGTTGCGCCTACATTTAACATACGTAACATCACAGTACGTGTTAATGCGAAAAAGTTGTCTGGTGAGATGAGAAGGCAATGGCGATTATTGTACCGACTTCATTCTATTCTCCATTATCGCGCAGATCAGTTTTATAAATGTACCATTTATTTCTGTTACAGCTTGTGATTATAAAACACAGTGTTCACTGTGAAGGGTGCTTCACTTTAATGTGATTGCTGTCGATTGCATCGGTGCAATACGGAAAATGGCCTTTCACATCAAAATCGTTGGAAACTTGTATGAAGCATTCTCGTGTAGAAATTTTCCTGTTAACTACTTTCAAACGTCCTGCATTACCCCCTCTCACCGCTTACTGGAGTAATTACTGAGGAAACCACATTGGCTACAAAGAGCTCCAGTTGATAAATAACTGAAGAGTATCAACTGTGTTTAAGCAGGAGATAATTAAAGGGAAATTAGTTTCTTTCCGTAATTAATTAAGCACCATGTCATGGAGATGCAGGAGGAGTTAAGGTATAGCTCCAACATACTTGACCCTGGCACTACGTGGAGATGAGTGATTAGCTTCACGTCTCTTCCGCTTTAGCCCTCGGAGAACGAATCTCCGATACCCATTAGACAGGAGGCCGGGTGGGCCCCAAGACCGGCCTGGCCCCTACTTGGAAGAGAAAAATCTTGCCCTTCCCGGAAATCAAACTCCGGCCGCCCAGCTCGTAGTCAGTTGCTACACCGACTGAATTACCCTAGCTCTTAAAATGAAAGCAATTAAATTGAAGTAACAAAATACATTATTAAGCCTTCGCTAATGTATTCTAGACGATATATTAGTGAAGTATAAATCTCTTCGAAATGGTTTAATACAATAATTTCTGGAAGTTCCAAAAGGGCGTTCCGTTGATGTGAGTGTAGCTTCATTCAAGGATCATCTGGTCAAATACTTGTGCTTTCTTTGAAAAAATAGTAAATATAATGAAATATAAGGAGGACAGATATGCAGTCCCTATGTTTCTGTTTTTCGTCACCGTGAACATTCAATGGATGTCCGTGAAATCTTACACGACATCACTTACAAACCCCGGTCATAATGTAGATGTAAAACATCTAAACATCTAGCAAAATTCTGGGGGAATATATTTTCTCGCTCTAGATAATACACAAAAATATATTTGTGCTCTCGGCCTAATGGAAATGTTCCTGTGTAATGTCTAGTCTTGTGTAATGTTATTGAAAACAGAAAATTCTAATATGGAAAGAAGATTATGACAGAAACGTTGTGAATAAGTTAATGTAATATTGTAGGCTTCTTGCTACCCGGTTCATGCTGCTTTCTAGCTTCGCTTATTCTTCAACCCTGAAGACGGAGACATGTTCCTCAGAAATCGTTTGATTTTCAGCATTCCTGAAGATATGATTCTGTGTGAACATAAAATTCCACATATCCGTAATGTGGTACCATTTTTGTGGGACTCCTGTGTATTATAAATTCCGGCCATACCGTTAGCCCCCCCCCCAAAAAAAAAACACATTGAGACTCCAAAGTGTAAGAACCAAATCTGAAATATGTTGTATTTTAGCGTCCTGTTGCACTGATTCATATTCATAATGTGTATGTATTAACAGTCTTCAAGTGCATACAATCCCATTTAGCACTTCTACACTAGATGTTTCGGCAGTATGCGGCCATCTTCAGGTGTATCGATCCGTCAACCATTTCACTGCTTGCCTTTATATGCCCATTTACAAATAATATTAAATTTGTATACGTCCTTATATAATAATAAAGTTTATGTATTTAAAACTTGTTAAAATCTATTATCTCATACGTCATATTTTAAATTCGTGTGTGTTACTGATCATCCACATGGGGGTCGTTCTTCTTATGTTTCTAATGTTGTGTGTACGTCTGAATTAACAACGCAGTTAAAGTATAACACCCTAACAAATGCAGATAAATGGCCGGGTTTGAACTCAGTGAATGATTTACTAGTTTCGAACCCAAGGCTCGTAAGTGGAAGTAATTTCAGTCCTATTATTATAGCGCCAGACTGTACGCGTGAAGAGAGATAGTGTTACACTGTAAAGCCGTACTGAACTCAGAATCCCTGGAGGGCCCAGAAACTGTGGGCTCCTTACCGCCTCATTTAGGGACAAGTATTGTACTGAGTGGCTGCGCCTCCTTATACTCGTATTATTGCCATTAATAACTGCATATAAAGAGATTCTGACATCACAGTAACTGGCTGACGAACTGAACTGAGAAGTTGCCTCAGCTACTCACGTACTGACATCCTCATATACCAATTTTAAGCTTAAAAATTTACTGTAAGCAAAGTGGTGTGTTACGTCACAATAAAATTCAGGCTACATCGTCTTAATGCTGAAACAATACAACTCCGAACTCTCAGTAAAATCTAC